TATCTCTGGGAAAAAAGTCTAGTGATGTGCTTCTGAAGAAAAGTCACTGTAAACCCTAAAGAACACAGTTCTATTCTGACTCATATGGGCTCCCCATGAGTTGGAAATGACTCCACAGTGTTGCTGTTGTTAAGTGCCATTGAGTTGGTTTCAATTCATAGTGCCTCTGTATCGGATTTACAAGGAGCTGCTGGTGTGTTTGAACCACAGACTTTAGTCAGCAGTCCAGTGCATACCTACAGCACCACACCTAATCTCAATGATTTGCATGTAGTCTTGCCAATTTTACAGGATGTATGTATAGTGTAGTGGCTACGAATTGGGCTGCGAACCTTAAGGTCAGCAGTTCGAAACTACCAGCCGCTCCACGGGAGAAAGATGAGGCTTTCTACTCTCGTAAAGATTTACACCCTCGGAAACCCTGTACAGGGTCGCTATGGGTCGGAACCGACTCGACGGCACTTACAACAACAACATGTATATTCAATAGTATACATTGTATTAACTGGAGTTCTGATGAGGCGCTGTAGGCTAACCAAAAGGTCGGCAGTTCAAACACACTAACAGTTCCTCGGAAACCCTATACAAGGCTGCTACGAGTCAAAACCAACTCAATGACACTTAACAACAACAACAAACAACATGCTTAAGAGCATTGTCACATAAGCACCGTAGGATAAGCACTGGACTACTAACTGAAAGGGTGGTGGATCACACCCACCAGACATTCTTCCAAAACCCTATTTAGAATCACTGTGAGTATGAACTGACTCAACAGCACTTAAAACAACAACAAAACAACATGCTTGGCGCTGGACAATAAACACTGGACTGCTAACCACAAGGTCAGTGGTTTGAGACCACTATCCATCCACTCCTTGGGAGAAAGATGAGGCTATATTAACCGCAGTTCAAAGCTTAAGGCTTTTGAGCCTGGGTTCAATTCTCAGCTCTGGCTGACCTGGGTTCAAAGCACAATTCTCCCATGAACTAGATGTTGACCTGGACTCTCAATTTCCCCACTTATAAATGGAGTTGTAGGAATTAAAGCTGTAACTCACGTAGAGCACAGTGCCTAATGACACATAATACAAATACGCACTTATTATTAACACTGTGAATTTCTTCAGCATCCTCAAATGAAGACAGACATAACAATGTTCAATTGCAGAGCTATTTTAGAAATTAAACTCTACTAGCTGCACCAAAATGAGAACGACATCACATTGAGGTTTATGTCATAGCACATAGGTTTGCTCACTCGTTAGATAGGCAATTTCTGGCCCACCAGTTTAGCGACTGCATGATTGTAACTCTTGGTTCAATAAAGGTATGTCACGGAAAAATGTTACTGAACTATCAATTTAACAATAAATATGAAATGTCAAGCATCAAATATACAGCAGCACACTCATTTGCACTTTTAACATACTACCTAAGCACAGAGAAATGAAATGCATATTTCTAAAACATACCTAAACATTCAATTATGAAAATAAAATGAAAAGTAATATTTTCTAAAAAGCATATTAATATAATATTAAAACTGCACAAAAGCCTTGGCAAATTCCCCAATACACCTACTTTTGCTTAAGTGCCTGACTTCTACTTTTTTGACGGTGTGAGGCGGTTACAAAATCCATGAAAATTCCACAAGCAGGAGTTCTGGAAGGGGAATTGTTTGAATCTGTACAAAATAAAAATGTTATTTCTGTGAAATGTTGAAATATTTCTTTCAAACAAAAACTCAAGAGTAATGTAGCTACAAGCATACACAAGAACTAAAACAAAAAATATGGTTACTAGGGTTCCAATTCAGACAGACACTGGTTTACTCAAACAAAATGTGTTGAAACATGTCTCTGGATCAGTAGGTGGCTACAGAAAAATTTTCTCATTAATACATTTGTCTTAGTCTCATAAGGCTGCCTTCAAAAAAAAAAAAAAAGTCCAATATCAAAACAATGGCTTTTGAGGGAATCTGCCGGGCCAGTTCAATTCAAGGCAGAGGACAGCTCCAAAGATTATGGTAGCTGGTTTTTGGGATTTCAAAGAACTCATCTGGATCATTTTCTCAGAGGACACAGGATGTCCATGACGTGTATTATAGTCTAATTTTAAGAAAACTGAAAACCGCACTGGTGAGAAAAGAGCCAGGAAAACTGCACCGAGAATTTTTTTTTCTCTCTCTCACAAGAATGTAGTAGTCCATTATTCCAGGGCAGTAAGGGCTGTCCCATGAGAATTTCATTCGGAAACCTTACCCCAGCCAAGGAACTCTGGTAGCATAGTGGTTACAAATTGGGCTGCTAACCTCAAGGTCAGCAGTTCGAAACTACCAGCTGTTTCGCGGAAGAAAGATGAGGCTTTCTGCTCCCATAAAGATTTATAGCCTCGGAAACCCTGTACAGGGTCACTATGAGTCGGAACTGATTCCATGGTAATTCACAACAACAACCCCAGCCACCGTACAGTGCTAGGTTTTTCCCTTCAGACTTCTTTTTGCTCTCTAGACTCAGAAAATATTTAAAGGGAACACGATTTAAGTCCCTTGAAGATGCCAATACTACTGTTTTGACATGGTGTAAATTGAAGAGTGAAGAATTCTTTGAGGAAATATTAGAAAGATGGAAATATCACCTTCAGAAGTACATAGACTAGATGGAGGATATGTCCAGAAACAATAGCTTAATATTTTGACAATTTTGTTTAATAAAGGTTTGTATAATTTTGTAGCAATACTTTTTGACTGAGCCCATGTAGCAATTATACTCTTTAACTCTTTACTGGAAACAAATGATAACAAAGTTTAAAAATCTTCTACACTCATGTAAGATGCAGGTTTCTGCTAATTTTATTTAAAACTTTCAGGTAATAGAGCAAATATTTACTGATTATCTATTGCTTATGCTGGACTGCAAAGTCAATATGAACCACAGAGTTGGCAGTTCAAGTGCACCAACCTCTCCTCAAAAACCCTATACAGGGATGCTATGAGTTGGATCCAACTTGACAGTACTTAACAACAACAACACTATTAGGAGCCCTGGTGTGGCACTGTAGGACAGCACTTGACCACAAGGTTGGTTTGAACTGCAAGGTCGGCGGTTCAAACTCACCAGCTGCCCCTAGGAAACCCTATATAGGATCACTATGGGTCTGAACAAACTCAATGGCACTTAACAACAAAATAACATTAAGAGTTTTAGAAATATCTAGGAATACATCCCTAGCTCCATCTCCAAAAAAAGATTACATCCTAAAAAGAGAATTGAGACATGAGTATACAAAATATCTAAAAAGTAGAAACAAGTGTAAATTAATATTAAACATATTATAAAATATATCAAAAGAGTACAGATCATAAGCTTATCAGAAGACTTGAAAGTTTCCAAATACATCATTAGATTGACAACTAATTATATCTGACTGACTTAAGCCTCCCGTGAACAATTCTATCCACTGTATCTTCAGACTACACTGAAGGGTATTCTCCTGACTTTGTTCCTCAACTCAGCACTTGTGTGATTTCCTACATGTATTTATTTACCCATATAATTATTTGTTTATATAGTTTTCAATTGCATCTTTATCTTGTCATTTCTTTGGAACTTCTATTCAAACTTAACAAAAGCAGAAAATGCAATCCTACCATCTTACCAGGGCCCTGGTGTGGCACTGCAGGGTAAGCGCTGGACTGCTAACCACAAGGTTAGTAGTTAAAATCCACCAGCCGCTCTCAAAAACCCAATACAAGTCACTATGAGTTGGAACTGACTCTAAGGCACATAACAACAACCATCTTAATGTGTTCACAAATCTTTTATACCCTCCGAACTTGTTCACATATCTCCTCTCATGTGAGCCTCACAACAAATGCACAAAGCAAATGCAGCAGAGAAGTGCTGTACAATGGAAAGTATGTAAGGGGAGCTGAGTTCAGGTCCCAAAACTGCTGATTCCTTGCCTTATGACTTAACAAGTTCTTTTATCTCCACACCTCCTTTTTTCATTTGATGAAATATCTTCCCTACAGTATTATTATGAATATTAAACCAGGTCATGTACTTGAAAAGTCTTCTATTAACTTTAAATGGAATGCTGGTGGAGCTGTAGGATAAGCACTGGACCACTAACTACAAGGTCAGCAGTTCAAATCCACCAGCAGTTCCATGGGAGAAAGATGAGGCCTTCTATTCCCATAAAGATTACAATCTCGGAAGCCCTAGACAGGGTCGCCAGGAGTCGGACCCAACTTGACGGCACCTAACAGCAACAACTGCAAACTACCAAGTCACTCTTAAGAGATATTATTGTTCCAGCATTAAAAATGAGGGAACCGCCCCCATCCCCACCCCAAAAAAAAAGCTAAAGAGGATAGAGAGAAACACTGTTAACTGATGATGTATGGAGGGGATTATAATCAATTTAATGAAACAAGTCATATGAATGGTTGAATGTGAAACTGATGATGTGCCCTGTAAACTTTCACTCAATCCACAATAAAAACCTTAAAAAAAAATGAGGGAACCGGTAAGCTTATTTAATTCTGTGCCAAGAGTCAGTGCTCAATAAATACTATCGACTGACCAAGTAAACAATTTACCTTTGAGAGTGTATGAACTCTTTCAAACACCATGGTGTAACTTTAGCGCACTGGAAAAAGTTATTATCAAATGGTTTCCTATGGCCCTGGAGAAGGATAAGGAGTGCAATTTATAACCAAATAGCTTAATCATTAAAGAAAGCAAGCATTTTATACTAAATAAGAGTATTATGCTTAGAGGCGTCAGGCAGGATAAAGAATATGAATACTCTCTCTGTGGCCTACTAGACGACAGGGTGGTAATAATCATCATTTTTAGCATCTACTGGTGCTTAGCATACGCCTGGCACGCTCTTAAGCGCTTTACACATATTAACTTATTTAACTAAGCCTCACAGCAACCCTAAGGAAAACCTTATACTTATTATACATATAAGAAAACTGAGGCACAGAGATGTTAACTAAATTCCCCAGGTCACACAGCCAACAAGTGATAGAGCCAGGATTTGAAAAACAGTCTGAGTCCCGAGTCAGTCAATACTATGAAACACTACTCTGTGTTAGCCTAGTCTAGCTCAACGCTAAGGAGAGCAGAGCGATGTACAACAGAGAGAGTTGTTGTTGTGAAGGGCCATTAAGTCAATTCTGACCCATAGCGACCCAGTATAGGGTTTCCAAGGAGCAGCTGGTGAGCTTGAACCACCAACCTTGCAGTTCAAATGACTTTGCAGTCTGACGCATTAGCCCACAGGGCCACAACAGGACTCCAAGCCGAGTGAATAATTGCATCAAATTAAAATATACCCAAAAGTATTATCTTAGGTCTGGGGTTGTAAATTCTAATCTTGTGAATCTTGCTATTAAGGATACATTGAGGTTCTTAAGTGCCATTGTGTCAATTCCGACTCATAGCCACCCTGTTATAGGGTTTCCAAGGAGCAGCTGGCAGGTTTGAACCACCAACCTTTTAGTTAGCAGTCCAGTGCTTAGCTTACAGCAACATACCAAGGATATGCATCTTGGCAAAGAAAAATGTTGGAACTGAATAATGAAAACAGGTTATTCAGAGATATGCTAAGAAAACTGAGAACTTAAAGCAACTTTTTACAAATTTCTCAGCAGCTAAAGAACAGGCAAGCTTCAAATGCTGTCATGTCAATCCTATTTGTTGGAGGTAATGAGAACCTCCCTGTGTACTTTGCTACTAAGTAGTGAAAAATCACTGAAACCAGTTGAAGAATCTCAGCCAGCAAATACAGACAAAAGAAGTGTGGATCCTTACTAGATGCTACCATCCCGGACAGGTATCCTGGCTTAAAAGACATTTTCTTAGCTTTAAATTTGAAGAGCAATCCATAGGTCAACACTTCCCACCAAAGTTTTACTACCTCTGTAGCAGAAACAAAATATGATGATGATAAACATTCAGTTTTATTATTATATAAATTAGTAACTGTGATCACTAGTAATAATTGACATAATTATTCATGACTGACATTCTACTAGATGGTTTATTTTAACATAGAATATTTTTTAATATTTTTCATATTGTAGCTATTTTATCTCTAGTGCTAACTTTTTTATGCTAATTTTTTACCAAACTGTCATAGTTCTCCCTTTAGGTGATTTAAAAAGATTTAGTCCTATTTTTACAAGTACCTTCACTGTATCCATATGCAAAGATTTTTTTGAAGCAATATATTTCTAATTTCATAGAGAAAATCACTGGCAAAGAAGGATGTCGTTAGAGGCATTCATTGTAAAACACACTGTTAGCTATATTTTCAATCTTTAGGAAAATGCTGTCCCAAGGTGTACTTTTAACATGTCACAAGACGAGCTCTTACATGCTGCCTTTACGTTTCTAACCCTCCTCTGGCTGCCAACAATGGCTATTCCTTTATGGAAACTCAACAATGGTCCACTCACAGTGTGAGAGAGAGACTGATAATACAAGCGAAAATGAACATTAGTGAGCATTGATGATAGCCTATGTAAGTCCTCCTAGGTCTTGGTGGTCCAGAAGTTAAGTGCTCAGCTGCTAAACAAAGATTGGTGGTTTGAACCCACACAGCAGCCCCATGGGAGAAAGACTTGACAACCTGCTCTGTAAAGCTGAGAGCCAAGAAACTCAATGGGGCAGCTCTGCTGTATCACATGGGATCGCTATGAATTGAAATCCATCAAATGGCACAAATAACTAACACAACAATAACACACACTTTTAGTACTCTTAGGAACTGATCATAAAAGCTAAATACAACTTGTTTTCATATGCAAAATAATCCTTAACATACCAACAATAAATATTTACTTAGTGACTTGTATGTGTTAGACACAAAGCATAACCATGAATATATAAAACTCTCATTTATCCACCTGCTGAATTAGAGCGAGTCTGTCTGCAGAGAAGGTCTCCAAGGTCTTAGTGCCCACAGTTTCATAAGAGCACAGACAAATGATTAATATTTAGTTATATACCTGTCCTTGGTTCCCCTTCATATTCCATTGGACCTTGCTTCTGAAGTCGTTTCAAAGACAATTCACCAATCCTTTCATTTTCTTCATTAATGGCTTTTTGAATTTCTTGTATCTCTTTTTTTCTGGCTGGAGGAAGTTCTTCAATTTTTTCTTTGGGTTCATGCTCATTACTGCTATCAATATCATCATCATCTCCATCACAAATCTCAAAATCATCTTCATAGTCCTGTAAAGAATAATAGTGTGTGCAGGATACTTTAAGATATATAGACTTTACATGTTAGTCACATAGTAGCTGGTGTGGCACTGTGGGTTAATGTGCTGGAATGCAAAGGCAGTTTGAACTGCAAGGTCGGTGGTTTAAGCTCACCAGCCGCTCCTTGGAAACCCTATGCAGTGTCATTATGGGTCAGAACCAAATCAACGGCACTTAACAACAACAACAACACATAGTACTAGACAAAATATTACAAAATTTGTAACCTAAAACAGGCAAAATGCTCATTTTTGAGTTTTACAGTACACTGGTTTTAATGTCTTTAAATTATAGATTTAGAAAAACTGCTCCATTTTTTTTTCCTCTAAAAATGAGCCACACAATAAAAATCACACTAACAGTTATTAGTAGCAATAATGAGCAAACATATTTCTGTTAAGAATGTGAGATTTTTTTATAAATGTGCATGTGTATATAAATGTACATAAGTACAGAGGGCTTTAAAATGTTCAAGGAAAAATTCTGTTATCTTTCAATTCCATTTTTCCACAGACTTTTTGAAGCCTCCTTGTATATTTATGTATGTATGTTTGAATGTAGTGCACTTAAATATGGGTGAAAACATCGATTCATTTAATGACATCACATTGTTAAGCGTGGGCAGAGGCACAGCACAGCAATCTTTTTGTAGGTAATAGTTGCACACAATCAAATAGATATTGAATATCAAAGGTAACAAAAAGAGAGAAAAAAGGCTTAGATTATTATACATAACCTGATTTTAGACTAAAAGATTTTTAAGCTGAGAAAAAATTAGTTTTATGCATACTTCAAAATCATCTTCAAAACTGGCTGCATATTCATCAGCTCCTGCATGTTCTAAATCAATGTCTTCCTTTTCAGTTTCCTGAAGGTAAAAATCAAACATGTAAGGAAAACATTTAAATATTAAATTGCACCTAGCAAATAAACAGTGTGGAAAGATGCATATATTTTTTTCTTAGATTCACATGTTGTTGCCAACGAAAAAAATTTTTAATGTATAAAACGTAACCTTATTCAAATTCTTACATTAAATTAAACTGAGTTTAATTTAAAACTTTGCTAATTAGAAGCATGATTTAAAAAAAAAATTGGTTAAAATAATATCCTTATTTTGGAAATGCTAACCACAAGGCCAATTGCAGAGAGTCATTGTACCAAAAGAAAATAGTTGATGTTCAACCATTTCAAGAGATACCATATGAACAAGAGCCAATGATACTCAGAGAGGAAGTCCAAAGTGCATTGAAAGAAATGGCAAAGAACAAGGCACCAGGAATTGATGGAATAAAAATTGAAATCTTTCAGGAAAGTGAGGCAGCACAGGAGGCAGTTATTCATCTTTGCCAACAAATTTGGAAGTCAACTGTCTGGCCGACTGATTGGAAGAGATCAATGTTTATGCCCATTCCAAAGAGAGGTGACCCAACGGAATGTGGAAATCATCGGATATCTCAAGCGAGCAAAGTTTTGCTAAAGGTAATACAGAAACGGCTACAATCATACATTGACAGAGAACTTCCAGAGGTTCAAGCTGGATTCAGAAGAGGCCGTGGAACGAGAGATATCATTGCTGATGTCCGATGGATCTTGGCTGAAAGCAGAGAATATCAGAAGGATGTTTACCTGTGCTTTATTGACTATGCAAAGGCTTTCGATTGTGTGGATCATGACAAGCTATGGACAACATTGAGAAGTATGAGTATTCCAGAACACTTACGTGTACTTCTGAGAAATCTGTACCTAGACCAAGAAGCAGTTGTTCGAACAGAACATGGGAACACTGAATGTTTTAAAATTGGGAAAGGTGTGAGACAGGGTTGTATTCTTCCACTATACTTATTCAACCTGTATGCTGAGCAAATAATACGAGAAGCTGGGTTCTATGAAGAAAAACGTGGCATCAGGATTAGAGGAAGACTCATTAACAACCTGCGATATGCAGATGATACAACCTTGATCACTGAAAGTGAAGAGGACTTGAAACATTTACTTATGAAGATAAACAGCACAGCCTTCGATATGGATTACATCTCAATGTCAAGAAAACAAAAATCCTCACCACTGGACCAATAAACAACATTCTTATCAATGGAGAAAAGATTGAAGTTGTCAAGGACTTCATTCTTCTTGGATCAACTATCAACACTCGCAGAAGTAGCAGTCAAGAGATCAGACGATGTATTGCACTGGGCAAATCTGCTGCACAGGAACTTTTTAAAGTATTGAAGAGCAGAGATGTCAGCTTGAGGACTAAGGTGCACCTGACCCAGGCCATTGTGTTTTCAATAGCCTCATATGGATGCGAAAGCTGGACAGTGAATAAGGAGGATCATAGAAGAATTGATGCCTTTGAGTTGTGGTGTTGGAGGAGAATACTGAAAGTGCCATGGACTACCAAAAGAACCAATAGATCTGTTTTGGAAGAAGTGCTGCCAGAGTGCTCCTTGGAGGCCAGAATGGCTAAGCTTCGTCTCTCCTACTTTGGACATATTGTCCGGAGGAAACAATCGTTGGAGAAGGATGTCATGCTGGGTAGGGTGGAGGGTCAGAGTAAAAGAGGAAGACCCCTAACGAGATGGATCAGCCAGGTGGCATCATTGATGGACTCAAGTGTGGCAGCGGTAGTGAGGTTGGCCCAGGATCGGACATTGTTTCGTTCTGCTGTGCATGGGGTCGCTATGAGTCGGTTCCGACTCAATGGCACCTGACAACAACCATAAGGCCAGTGGTTCAAACCCACCAGCCGCTCCTCGGACATGACAGAATCCAACTTGACAGCAATTAACAACATAATTCTTATGACGCAAAAACAAAAGTTACACAAAGAAGTTCCAAACTAGTAGCAATCTGTCCATACATTACATTTCTCATCCATGAATATATATTCCCCACTGGGTGATGTTCATCTGGTCTACACTGTTAAGGCCAGATATAAAGAATAGTATTCCAAAATAGAAATGCCAGTCCTGTCGGAACTACCAAATTTCACATGACTACATTTCAACTGGGGGGTCTTCTAGTTTAAAGATATTACTCATCCATGTCTTTTTCCTTTTTATTTCAGAGTAGAAACACTATGGAGTGGAGAACTACACAGACTTTGCAGACAGTTTTTCAAATCTTGGCTTTGCTGCTTACATCAGTGTGCTCTTGGCCTAATCACTTAATCATTCCGAGACTGAATTTTATCATTTATAATCTGGGGGTAAAAACAGAAGAATCCACTAAATCTGGTAGTTGCACAATGGCAGAGATGCTCAGTCTTGCCTTGGAGGTCTGGAAAAGGCTTTACAGCTAATCTGAAAGAAATGTTGGTGTGGACCTTAAAGGATGAGTAGGAACTTTTCCAGGAAAACAAAGGAAACACACAGGAAGGGTTTTTAGATTGAGAGGGTAACAGAAATGAAATATACAGTGGGAATACTCACACTTGCCCTCAATTTTGTTCCTTCACTTAGCCATCTGCTCTCTCATGAAATAGGATATAGCATCTGCAGATCACACAATCCAAAATAGTGGGGATGCTCCTAGGCTAGCTCCCCACCTGAGAATTCCACTCCAGCATATGTCCTCTGCTTCTCCCCTTGTCTCTATCTTCACTGTAATTTCCTCAGTCTAGGCATTCACTACTTCTATTGTGTTCCCTTACCTCTCACCCCTTTCAATTCACATAGAGTTCAAAGTAGCTCCCCATCAGCTACTGTTCACATTCCAAACACACCACACAGTACTTTAATCCTGGAGGTGATGGAAGACCAATAAACAGGACTGTGAAAGGGATAATTCAGGTAGGGATGGATTTGGGATATAGAAGGGGCAAGGCTAGAAAGCAGAACCTAATGAAGAGGCCACTGTAAGAATCCAAAAGTGAAAAGATGGTAATTCGGACTTAATGATAAGAAGGAAACTAGCCCCCAAGGTTTGCAGGTGTAAAAGCTAAGGAGCTATCAATGCTGTCCACCAACATGGGGATACAGGAAGGAAAGCAAAATCAGGGAAAGATCCGGAAGAGGACTAGTCAGTGTGGCTGAAGTACACTGAGCCTGGTAAGTAATACAAGAAGAGATGAACACACAGATGTAGATATTACAAAAGAGGTTCATCAGGTTTTTAATTTGGCCATTTACCAATTCAAAGTGCAACCTTTTAACCCTAGAATCTAGTAAAATTGAGTGAAGCAAACAATGCCATAAAAAAATTTTTTTTTAGAGTCATTATGCCACAGAGAAGTCTGATTGCTTCCTACACCAGGAGATTCAGTTCTGACCCTCTCGACACAAACTTCTTCTAGGAAAGACCTGCTGCAGTGAGAGACTTATTACTGATCATAATTGCTGCCGATATTACTGGGAGGAGGGGATACATTGAATGAATACTAGAAAAAGTTGCCCCATAGAAAGGTTCTTTTAGCACACTGTCAAACCAAACCATTCTGTTGTTCTGAATGACATACACTACAATGCATCACTACATGCAATGCCTGCTTACTAATAAGGAGAGAAGAAATAGACTACTGTGCAGGATTTTTAAACAACTAGGGCTGCGAACCTTAAGGTCAGCGGTTCAAAACTACCAGCTGCTCCGTGGGAGAAAGATGAGGCTTTCTACTCCCGTAAAGATTTACACCCTCGGAAACCCTATACAGGGTCGCTATGGGTCAGAACCGACTCGATGGCACTTAACAATAACAACAAGCAGCATCCCACTACTTGTTCATAATCAAACTCCCTGTCTTCATCATGCCCTAAGTGCAGCCAGGATTCAGAAAGAATTCATTCACTCAGCAAATATGGGCATAACATCTACTGTGCGGCAGGCACTCAGCACGGGGATGAGAATACAATGGAGTGGAGGACAGACACCTGGGCTTCCTTTGCAGAACTAGAACCAAACTAGGAGACGCAGTCAAAAACAATTCCAGGACAGTGCCGTAAGTAGAGAGCTCCATCCTTTCTTGCACAGTCGCTATGAATCAGAATCGGCATGAATCCACCTCTCCATCCTGTCATCAGTCACTATGTGGCTCTCTCTCTCTGCCCAGAGCTAGATCAGAGCTCACAAACTTCAAAGGATGCTGTGCTTCTGACTGTCAAATAGGCCAACACCAGTCATAAGTTTGAGGAGTCCATACAACATCCCAATCTTCTCATCTGGTGTTCAGCAATTTGGAGCAAGTTTCCCACTACCCCTTCAGGATGCCAACCACAAGCTTGGAAGCCCATACGACACCCTTACTTTCTGATCTGCTGGCTCCTACTATCTCTTTGGGTTTGATGATTCTCTGGAACAACTCACAGAATCCAGAGGTTAAATCACTTCTCCTGAGACTGGGTGATACCCGGCTCCTACGTGAGTCTGACTAGCCCCCATTAGCCAGCACAAATCCTCAGTGTGGCCTGGAAGTCCCAGAACAAGGCATCCCAGTAACTCCAGGATTTCTTTCTCAGGAGCCAAGGACAAAGGTCACCTTATTTAAGGTGAAACTAGATCCATCTCATAAACAGATTTTATGTACTAGATACTAAGGACTGAAGACCAGAATAGATGTGTGATGACATCAAGAACATCATACATGAAGAAAGCAAAAGGTCATTAAAAGACAAGAAAGAAATAAAAGACCAAAGTGGCCTTCAAAAGATACTCAAACTTGCTCTTAAACACAGAGAAGATAAAGTGACTAGAAGAAATGATGAAGGAACAGAAAATTCCAAAGGGCAGCTGAAGAACACAAAGTCATGTATTATAATGAAATGTGCAAAGAAATTTCCCAAAAGGGAAGAACATGCTCAGCATTTCTCAAGTTCAAACAGAAGAAAAGAATTCAAGACTCTAGGAGACCTGGTGTGGCACTGTAAGATAAGCACTGGACTGCAAGTCAGTTTGAACTGCAAGGGTGGCGGTTCAAACTCACCAGTCACTCCTTGAAAACCCAATACAGAGTCACAATGAATCAGAACCCACTTGGTGACACTTAACAAGAATAAACTCCAATATTAAATTATTTCAAGGGGGAAAAAAACTTAATAACATAGGCAGCATCAAAAGAAGATGGAAGGAATACAGAGTCTCTGTACAAAAAAGAATTGGGTGGTAACCAATCATTTCAAGAAGTAGCATATGACCACGAATTTATGGTACTAAAGAAAGAAGTCCAAACTGCACTGAAGGCATTAGTGAAAAACAAGGTTCCAGAAATTGATGAAATACAGACTGAAATACTTCAACAAATTGATGCAGTGCTGGAAGTGCTCACATATCTATACCAAGAAATCTGGAACGCAGCTACCTGGCTAACTGATTTGAAGAGATCTATATTTGTGCCCATTCCAAAGAAAGGTAACCCAATGGATGGAAAAACCATCAAATTACATCATTAATATCACTTGCAAGAAAATTTTCCTGAAGATAATTCAACAATGGTTATAGCACTGCATCGACAAGGAGCTGCCAGAAATTCAGGTCGAATTCTGAAGAAGACATGTAACAAGAGATATCACTGCTGAAACCAGACAGATTTTGGTTGAAAGCAGAGGATATCAGAAAGATCTGTACTTGTGCTTTATTGATTATGCAGATGATAACAAACGATAGATAACATTGCAAAGAAAGAGTATTCTAGAACACTTAACTGTGCTCATGAGGAACCTGTACATAGACCAAAAGGCAGTCATTGAAACAGAGCAAGGGGGTACTGAATGATTTAAAATCAGTAAAGATGTGCGCCAGGGTAGAACTTCCAACCTTGTGGTTAGCAGTCAAGTGCTTATCCTACAGTGCCACCAGCACTCCAATTTGCAGTTAATAGAATATTTTTCATATACATGGCCTGGTTTAATCCTCATAATACTGCCAGAGGGATGATGTTGATCGTGGGCCCATATATGGTGAAAGGATACAATCCTGATGCACACCTTTCCTAATTTTAAACCAATTAGTAATTCCCTTTGTTTGTTTAAACAATTACCTGTTGGTTGATGTACAGGTTCCACATGAGCACAATTAAGTGCTCCAGAATTCCCATCCTTTGCAATGTTATCCACAACTTGTTATGATCCACAAAGTTGAATACCTTTGTATACATTGTCAACAAGACACAAGTAAACATCTTTCTGGGATTCTCAGCTTTCAGCCAAGATTCATTCGAAATTGGCAGTGATATCCTGATCCCATAACATCTTCTAAATCTGGCTGAATTTCTGGCAGTTCCCTGTCAATGTACTATTGCAACTGTTTTTGAATGATATTCAGAAAAATTTTACTGTGTGCGATATGATAGTTGGATAGTTTCTTCATTCTGTTAGATCACCTTTCTTTGGAATGGGCACAAATATTGATCTCTTCTAAATTTCTTGGCATAGATGATTGAGTGCTTCCGGTGCTGTATTAGTTTGATGAAACTTTTCAACCGGTATTCCATGAAATCGTGGAGCCTTGTTTTTCGTCAACGCCTTCAGTGCAGCTTGGACCTCTTCTGTCAATACCATCAGTTCTTGATCAGATACTACCTCCTAAAATGGTATATGACCTAGGACTTTCAAATGAGTGCGAATTCAAATTGCATATTAAAATTTCTTCTCTTCCTTCATATTAATGTTTAGTGTCTAAAAGAAATAATCATTACTCTAGTAAAATGGTACTAAGAGAGCAAGGAAACATGAACGGAAAGTATGTGGCTGGTTATGTTTGCCAAAATGTACAAATACATATATCTGTCTTACCACAGTTTCTTCACTTCTGTGCCTCTGAACCAACTTCCATGCTGATGACCCTTCCTCATAGCTGTGCTAAAGTGACAGAGCACAGATATAATCAGCAAATAAACATGTGGAAAATGGAGTTATAACAGAATGTCTTCCTAACATCTCCAGTAGAAAGGCAAAGTCACTCCATCACTAGTTAGAAGCATAGACTTGTAAGTTAAAACTCTGGTGTTCAGGCCCTGTCTTTGAGACTTATGAACTGTGTAACCTGAGGCAAGTAACTTCACTTCTCTGTACCTTGGTTTGCTCCCATGAAAAAATAAAAACAATGTCAGTACCTACACTTTATAATACCAATGACTGGATTAAACAAAAGAATACATAGTGCACATAAAGCATTTACCACTGGATCTAACCTAGGAAAAGTCCAATTACATTAGCTATTATTGTCACTGGAGTCCTGGTGTGGTGCTGTGGATTAATGTGCTGGACTGAAAGTCGGTTTGAACCGCAAGATCAGCAGGGTTTGAACTGCCAATCTTACTGTTAGCAGTCCAGTGCCTATCCAGTGCTCATCCACAGCAGGACTACTTTAGTGACTACAAAAATATTATTCCAAATATACTGCAGTTATCCATTTGTTCAGGAAATCATCCTGGCACATTAGAGATCTCCATATATGTTAAAGAATTGAATCAAGATGAGTTGCATTAACATTTTGTATCTAATCAAGCATTGATGTTATACAATATATAACCTAACCATAAGCTGAAACCTTTCAATATCCCTGGCAGAATTTTTCAAGGAAAAAGGTTTAGCACATAACTTACTCTTTTACTGAAAAACAGAAAGCAAATTATCTCAATGATAATTTTTATACTGAGTGCATGTTAATATGATATTTTAGATATACTGACCCAGTATTATTAATATTAGTTTTAGGTTTCTTTTTACTTTTTTTAAGTCACTATAAATTTAAAACTACAACTGTGGCTCACACTGAAAGGGGGCTTCAAAAAGTTTATGGCAAAATTCTATAACCTTTTTATTGCATTTATCCACAAACTTTTTAAAGCCCCCTCATATATTTCCGGTGAACAATGATAACATACATCTTAGAAAACAATTACAAGATACAAGGAAAACAGGAAAAAAAAAAATCCATGTATTTTCATCTAGCAATTCTACCTCAGACATTTATCCATATACAAAAAATATGGAGTAGATCCATAATATTGGAACTGCAAGGGGTGCCACAATACATTGGAAAAAACCAACATGCTGCATGTTTTGTGTGTGTGTGTGTATTTTAAAAAGGCATCTAAAACAACTATGTATGTCAATAAAAGATCATGTGAGGAAAAGAAATATGTATGACAAACTTTTTTTCTATGTTGTTGGTGTTAAGTGCCGTTGAGTTGGTTCCAACCCTGTATAGGGTTTCCTAGGAGCAGCTGGTTAGCCTGAACCACTGACCTTGCGGTTCAAACCAACTTTGCATTCCAGCATATTAACCCAGAGCGCCACACCACAGGACTCCTCAATGTTTTTTCCCCCTGTGGTAGGGGGATGATGATAATTAGATTGTAAATGAGTCAGCCAAAAAAAAAAAAACCCAAAACATACAAAGTCCATGCTTCTAAGGAGCTTTTTGGAGTCCTGGTGTGACACTCCGGGTTAATACACTGGACTGCAAAAGTCATTTTAAATGCAAGGTTTGTGGTTCAAGCTCACCAGCCCCTCCTCAGAAACCCTATACGGGGTCACAATGAGTCAGAACTAACTCCGCAGCACTTAACAACAACAACAACAAACTTCTTCCTCCACAGATTTGTTTGTTTTTCTGGCAGTCCACGGTACTTTCAATATTCTCCTCCAATACCATTCATCAGTTCTCTATGGTCTTCCTTATTCATCATCCAACTTTCACATGCATATGAGGTGACTGAAAATACCATGGCTTGGGTTAAGCGCACCTTATCCTCAGAGTGACATCTTGGCTCTTGGGCACTGTAAAGAGGTCTTTTGCTGCAGATTCACCTACTACAGTATGTGTTTGATTTCTTGACTGCTGCTTCCACGACCATTGTTTGTGGATCCAAACAAAATAAAATCTTTACTCTTTTCTCCATTTATCATTATGTTATTTGTTTGTCAGATCATGAGGATTTTCATTATATAAACAAGGCAATTTAAAACATAAAAGTAATTATGTAAGGAGTGGGATCATGAATGTGTATTAGCATGAATAATGTGTGATAGAACCTGTAGTAAAGCCACTAAGCCTTGGCTTGTCTTTGTGGGAAGATATTTCATCACTAATGAAATTTCTTTACTTACTATACATCTATTTAGATTTTCCACAAGGGGGCTTCCAAGAGTTCACAGGACATTGGAATAAAAAAATAAATAATGGAATTTTTCCATGAACTCTTTGAAACCCCCTCTTATTTCTTCTTGGGTCACTTTTGGGAGTTAATGTCTTTCTAGAAATTTGTCACTTACATCTACATTAACAAAAGATGTTCTTATCCACTGCTGAAAGTGGGTACGAAAGTCTCTATTATAATGGAATTGTCTGCTTCGCCCTTTAATTCAGTCAGTTTTTACTTCTTGTATCTGGGGGCTCTCTTGCTAGGCACACATTCATTTATAGAAGTTATATCTTCCTGTTGAACTGTCAAATCAATTCTTCTATCATCATGAAACACCCTCTTTGCCTATAATAACATATTCTAAAAGTCTAAAACTCTATTTTGTCGGATATTAGTGTAGCCACTACAGCACTCTCACAGTTAGTATTTGATGGCTTACCTTTTTCCTTCGTTTTACTGTCAACCTATTCAGACGTTTTAATGTAAAGTGTGTGTCCTGTGTGCCTCCTGAGTTCATTTCTTACATAAACTATCTTCAATCAAGGTCTCATTTCAGCCTCTGCTTTCAAGGGAAACTGAAACCGAGATACATGGCTAATCCTCTTATATAATAAAACCAATATATCATCAACGTAAATTACCTTACCTTCTTTCTTGTGTCTCTTTCATTATTCCTAGCTAAATTCTCTATAAACCTAGAAAGTAAACATGATCAAAATCACAACTCACATTTAAAAGTTGATTTAAAAAAAAAAAAAAAACACAAGTCAGAGTCATTATTAGTAATATTTTTATATGATCAAGAACTACTATAAACTGGCAAGTTTCCAAAGTATGTTTTATCATATTCAGGAATATTAAAGCCTTTCTAATATTTTTACTATTTAAGCAATAATTTAAAATAGTAAATATTTTCAAAAGAAAAGAGGAAAAAAACAGCATTTTATAACACTTTTGTATGTCTTAATCTATACACTCATAAGAGTTCTAGAAAATTCCTACAGTTTTATTAGTTGACCGTCTCTAAGTACTATTTGTTTAATATAATATTTTTATTTCAAAACAAAAATTTTTCTCAAAATTTATCGGATTTTAAATGTTGGTTAGGACCTAAAAGAAAGCCTTTTAAAATTCCAAAATTCCAATGCAATATAATAGATTATATAAAAGATGCCGAATTGTGCAAAAGCTTCCTTGTACATCCCAGCAGGTTTGCGAAACTCTAGGAATTTGAATCCACAAGTTTGATTCGGCTCAAACTTGTAAAATAGGCCAAGGCATTTTATCTGAATTTTTTTAATCTGTAAAGAAATCTACAACAGTATAGAGCACAAACTAACATCTAGAATTTATATACAAAACAGAAGTGAGCTTATATACAAATTCTTATTTTAATCTGTAATTTTCACAAAATAAAATAGGCATTATTGTAATACAAGCATTATACTGGTATGGCACTGTAGGATGAAGCACTAGACTGCAAGGTCAGTTAGAACAGCAAGGTTGGTGGTTCAAACCCACCAGCCGCTCCATGGAAACGCTATACAGGGTCGCTATGAGTTGGGACCAACCTGATGGGACTAACAACAAAAACAAACACTGCCATAGTTTTACTGATGAAGAAACAGGCTCTGAGAAGCTATCCATTTTGCAACTAAAAGGCAAAAATGGAATTCTAACCAAGTCTGATACCAACCCCTTGCTCTCATTATGACTCTACAGAGGCCTGGTGACCTAAAGTATTCTTTAGTAAAATAAAGTAAAATATTCTTTCATTTGTACTCACAATTTATAAAAAAATATATCTATAAATATTGGACAATAGGGATTTGGTGTCAATACAGCAAACCTATCTTTAAAAAGCCAAAAACCATCTATTCAAGTTTGACTAATGGCAACGAAATGTGTATCAGAATTAAACTGCTCCATAGTGGCGCTAAGGAGCTCTGGTAGCGTAGTGGTTACGAATCGGGCTGCGAACCTTAAGGTCAGCGGTTCAAAACTACCAGCTGCTCCGCGGGAGAAAGATGAGGCTTTCTATTCCCGTAAGGATTTACACCCTCGGAAACCCTGTACAGGGTCGCTATGGGTCGGAACCGACTCGAAGGCACTTAACAACAACAACAACATAGTGGTGCTATGGCTAATGCACTGAACTGCAAAGTCAGTTTGAACCGCAAGGTCGGGAGCTCAAGCTCACCAGCCGCTCCTTGGAAACCCTATACAGGGTCGCTATGGGTTGGAACTGAACAACGTAAGGTTTTCAATAGCTGATTTTTCAGAAGTAGATAGAACTTTCTTCCAAGGCACTTCTGGGTACACTTCAGCCTCTACCCTTCTGGATAGCAGTCAAGTGTGTTAACCATTTGTACTACCCAAGGACTCCAATGTATCGTTACCATATGTGAAGCATAGAATTTGCTCATGTCAATAAAAGGGAGTTAAATTGTTCACTTGCAGGTTCATAAACTTCCTATGCTTTTCATGTATTATAGCAAGGTAACTACTTCTTGCCCCTTACAAGACTCCCAAACAAATTATTCTTCCCAAAGTGAGTCTTGATTTTCTCATTTTATGTGAACAAATATAAAATAAGGCTAATAATTTAACTTCCTTACCCATAATCCACTGCCATACAGTCAATTCCAACTCATAGCGACCTAACAAAGGAGAGAGGAGAATTGCCCAGTAGGGTCTTCAAGGCTGTAAACCTTTATGGAAGTATACTGCCTCAGCTTTCTTCCATGGAGCGGCTGGTGGGTGCGAACCACTGACACTTCACAGTTAGGAGTTGAGCACTCAACCATTTATGCTATGGGTCAGAATCGACTCGACGGCACTTAACAGTAACAACAAGTACACCTAAAATATAATTGTTGTTGTTGTTGTTGTTAAGTGCTGTCGAGTCGATTCCGACCCACAGCAGCCCTGTATAGGATTTCCGAGGAGCAGCTGGTGAGCCTGAACCACTGACCTTGCAGTTCAAATGGCTTTACAGTCTGGCGCATTAACTCACAGCATCACTTAAATCCTGGGGAAAGGATATATATCTCTTTCATTTGTTCTTATGTACTTGTTATAATTTGGTCCAAAATGAAACAATAATTTATAAAGCATTCAATGAGAACTAAGTTATATATAATATTCAACCAAAAAATGTATATTCCTTACTGGCTGTTAGTTCCATCTCTTTTTGAACTTGAACCTCGACTTCTGTGTTCACCATTCTATCAAACAAAAAATTCCACAACCATTAATTAGTGTATAATAGTGAATTAGTCATAATTAGTAAATGCTGTAAAACATACTCAAATTGTACTGATAGTATCTTCAATACAAGTATCTTTCAAAATGACTATGTTTGCTAGATATTTTTAATAAATTACATCATTAATGTAAAGGAGATGAATAAGGTACACTTAAAAAGGAAGATTACTTCAGTAAGCACAACAAGTTTAGTCATCCATTTCACATAAATAATAGACGAATCTGAATTATTTCTTATATTGTTTAAAACTCTAGGTTTTCTATTAAAGGAAGAGTGGAATATATATGTAGTCATATCCGACAAATACATAAGAGTTTGAAAGAGGATATTTGTACATGGGTAACCACAAAGAGGAAGCGGGACAACTGTTGCTGCAGGGAGGGGACTGCAATCATTGAGAAGAAACAAAGTATATAATTCATTGAATGTAAAACTGATGATCTTGTCTGTAAACCTTCACTCAATTCACAACAAAAAGTTTAAAAATACATACCTATAGATTTTCATATATCAATGCCCCTATAGAAAAAATTTTTACTCACTTCTCTTGAAATAAGCAAATTTTCTAAATTAAAATTACTGAAATTTAAATGAATATTTCTAAGGGGATTGTCTGAAAAGAGAAACACAGTAAGGTGAGTAGTGAATGTATGGCCATTCACTGACCGGATAAAGACACTAGGGACAGTTGTGGTGAAAAAAGAATGTTCAGCTATGATTTGTTATTGCTGCTATTATCAAGTGCCATTGAGTCGGTTCCACCTCATAGCAAACCTTAGAGGTTCTCTAAGGAGCAGCTGGTGAATGCAAACTGCCAACCTCACTGTTCAAACAGACCTTGTGGTCTAATGCTTATCCTACAGCACCACACCACAGAGACCAATTATAGAAAGTCTGGAAATCGAAAACCGTGGAAGTGATCCCTAGGAAATACAGAGCAGAATGGCAGGATTAAATCAACTAAGAAAAACCAGTCAAGAGGGCAATAGGCATCAAGAGCTTTAAGAATAGTCAAATAATATTCAAACATTTGCTTTGACCCCTAAGTTCTACTTCTGAGAACGTCACAGAAAACAATCACAGATAATGTATTAAGACTTCTGTTTTATTCACCACAAAATAATTTACAATACCAAAATAATGGTAACAACCTGAATGTCCAAACATTTAGTAGCTTGTTAAATAAATGAGACTAGACAACATATTATAAATACCAGGTAGCTATTAAACATCCTGGTATTAAAAAGCATCTGCAAACCTTAAGGTCAGCGGTTCGAAACTATCAGCTGCTCCGCGGGAGAAAGATGAGGCTTTCTACTCCCGTAAAGATTTACACCCTCGGAAATCCTGTACAGGGTCGCTATGGGTCGGAACCGACTCGACGGCACTTAACAACAACAACAATATAAAGTAGCAATAGTAACATGATTCTAACTTTGTGTACTACAAGTCCTGGTGTGGCACTGCAGGATGATAATACACTGGACTGCAAGGTCCGTTTGAACCACAAGGTCGGCACTTCAAATCCACCAGCTGCTTCTTGAAAATCCTATACAAGGTTGCTATGGGTCGGAACCAACTCAACGGCACTTAACAACACCACATTTATCAGAAAGAATAATCAGGCATTCAGACTATAATTATGTATTGGGATAAAAAAATAATGAAATCAGAGGTCTTGGATAGGGGAAAAACAGTAACTGCTGTCATTGCTAAATGCCAGAGTCAGTTCCAACTCATAGCCATCCTGATTTCCAAGGCTGAAAATCTCTGCAGAAGCACAAAGCTTCACCTTTCTCACACAAAGTGGGTGGTGGGCTTGAACTGTCAACCTTGTGGCTCACAGTCCAGAGCTTATCCTTATTGTAGTCATGGATGCCATATATACAGGTTGTAAAAGTGGTATTGTCTTACAAATATTAAACACATGGTCAATGTTCATACCACGAGGAGGGCAGCAGGCCCGTGGTGACAGCGGTGAGGCTCTCGGTATAGCTGTAAAGCAAGGTGCTGGGTGAACAGTAATGGCAGCTACAGGGAGAGGACTCTCCCTCATGATACTTGGCTGAGCAAAGAGAAAACTAAGGTAGCCACCAAAGCATCAGCAATGTCAAATGAAGACGTTTCAAGACATTTTAACATAAATGTATCTCAGTTGCTCCTGGTTTTTTATAAGGTAGTTTTCAGAACCTAAAATAAATGTATGCAGATTTCAGTGGAAAGAGCACCAGTGACTCAGAGAACTTATGGGTTTGCGCTGGGCTTCACATACACACACACACACAGTGTTTCCTTCCTGACAGTCATGAGCCGCCCAGACCTCAGCACACCATCTGATGCTGTGAAGAGATTTACGTCCAACTGAAAGGAAGTACTGGCAAAAAGCGTGACAATAAAATAGCATTAGCTTCGGATTCTGGAAAGCTAGAGCAGCAAAAGGTGTGTGTGTGTGTATATTTTTTTGTATTTATATTTATATACATATTAGAAAAGAAGCTATTAAAATGAGTCTAATATAACACTGGGAGCAGGACTAGGCAACCTTCTATTGTTACATGTAAGGCCTCCGTGAGTCAGAGCTGATGCTAAGGCAACTCACAACAATAACAGATCATAGTGAGCAATTTCAGTAATTTAATAAATACATATGAGAGGAAGTTTTCACCTTTCACAATTAATAGTTTTATATTTTTGTTCTATTTTGTTTCATTGAAAAAAAAAAAACAACCTATGCTTATGAATTCTGGCTAAAACATGAAGTGTGTTTTTCTAAATCATTCAACTTAATTTTTACATTAAAAAAAAATTCACTTCCTTTTTAATGTTAAATTTCATGATTACTTTCCAAATATCCATTAAAAACATACTCACAACATAGTAAGATTTGACTTAATGTTTCCTAGAAGATCATGGTTCTTAGCATGATCACTATAGAGACGCTATTTATTTATACTGACCACATTACGCACACTTAAATCATGTTTTGACCAAGGTTTCTACCTTTAGGCAACAAATGGTACCTTTACCTGGCTGCATTTAGATTTTTTTAATTCTCTCAAAGTGTTAATTTTAGCAGGAATATCAACGTAATGAAGCATCAAAGCACAATACCTTGGAGTCCCTTTTCTTACGTTCTTCTTTTGATGAGCTTTCTTTTTTATCCACGCTACTTCGGTGCCTTTCTTCATCAAAGTGGACACTTTCTTTACGTCGTTTTTCTTTATGCCTTTCTTCCCCTTCCTTTTCAGAAAACAAATTACTTTTTTCTTTGGGAAATTTTTCTCTTTTATCCCTTGTGCTACTTTTTTCTCCATGCTTCTTCTCTCGATCTTGATCTCTCTGTTTCCTATGCCGTCTTTCCCCCTCTTCTTTATAAAGCCAAAACTTGAGAGGATTTTCTTTGCTCTCACCATACTGCAACTTTTAAACATGACATATTGAAAATGTATGAGCATAGAAAACATGAATACCTCTTTTATATACGCTATGATGAAAAAGAAGAAAATCACATTTGTCCCCTTCAGTCCTGTGTCCTATACTACCAAGTGCCTAAAAAACGTAAATGTTGTCGTCAAAGAAAGAAAAAACCTATTCATACCAGCCCTCCACTGTTAGATGTGCTAGCTCCCCAATACCTACAAAATAACAGAGACACACTGCAGCCCAGTTGCCCCCCATCTGATATAGAAAACATTTCCAAATCCCTTACCATGGCAAATATGCCCTTCTATTGGGATAGAAAAGAATGAAATCAGAGGTCCTGGAAAGGGGAGAAACAATAAATGCTGTTGTTGTTAAGTGCCAGAGTCAGTTCCAACTCATAGCCATTCTGATTTCCAAGGCTGAAAATCTTTGCAGGAGCACAAAACTTCACCTTTCTCACATAAAGTGGCTGGTGGGCTTGAACTATCAACCTTGTGGTTCACAGTCCAGAGCTTATCCTTATTGTAGTCATGGATGCCATATATACAGGTTACAAAAGTAGTATTGTCTTACAAATATTAAACACCTGGTCAATGTTCATACCACGAGGAGGGCAGCAGGCCCATGGTGACAGGGGTGAGGCCCTTGTTACATTCAGACCCCTTGTTACATCTGCAGTCTCTTTTCTTGTTCCTCTCCCCTCAACTCCCATAGATCCTAACCTCAGCTGATCCTACAATCCCCTCCTGTTAAATCTTTTTAGGAGTTCTCAGGAAAATGTCCTCTTCTGTGAGCAACTACAGCACAACATGGCTACCTTTCTGATAATAAAATACTTCCTTCATTAATCTGCATCTCCATTCCCTACACCCAGATTGAGATTCTTAAAGATAGAGGCCATCGTTCAGTCATTTCCATATCGCCAAAAAACACTGTCAATGCACAAAAAATAACTAATGACAATCCTCATCAAGAAGTATGCTACTAATTTATATAGTAGATTATTATTATGCAATATTTTTGGCTCAGACTCATAGTTCTGGGAGTATTATCAACTATGTGTGAGCATAACCCCAAAATCAACATGCCCGAAACTGAACTCTCACTTGCTTCTTTAAACAAAGATCTCTGTTCAAATCTAATTAACGATCATTAATTTTTTTATCATCCAATCATTTTATTTAAGGAGCTCTGGTAGCATAGTGGTTACAAATCGGGCTGCAAACCTCAAGATCAGCAATTCGAAACTACCAGCTGTTCTGCGAAAGAAAGATGAGGCTTTCTGCTCCCATAAAGATTTACAGCCTCGGAAACCCTGTATAGGGTCACTATGAGTCGGAACCAACTCCATGGCACATAACCAACCAACCAATTATCTTATTTGATTTTATAACTCCTTTATCTCTTTTAGTTCCCTGTTGCTTCCATACCTTTCATCCTGATTCAAGATTTTATCATTCAATCTGTGGGTCACTGTAATAGACACCTAACTAGTTTCCTCTCTTCAATTCTTGTCCAAATCCAACCCATCCTACATATTTGCCAGAATAATCTTTCTAAAGGAAAGCACTTAGACTCTCATCCTAATAAAACTCTTCAGTAAAGTAAGATTACTTCCTTATACCATTCATCAAAATTACCTCTATGGGTATTAAAATTTTAAGTGTTTTTAAAAATTATAAAGACTTAAAAACAAAACATATATGACTGCTATAGAACTTTGGTATGGAAAAAGAACTCTATAAGCAAATGATTTGTGTACATCAACTACAGAAATAATAAAGTAAATGCCTTATTTATTTGGCTACTTCAAAATTTAAACTTACTTACAGAAGTAATATCCAGAACAAATATAAAATGTCTGGTGTAAAGTTAACCTTTAAGGTACTCTTACAAATCAGTAAGACGCTCCATTAGAAAACTAAGCAAATGTGTACAAGTAATAATTTTAAAAAGGGAAATAAAGACTTTTGAGAAAATGACTAGAGATGCCATTTTTTCTGAATCAAATTAGAAAAGATTGAGGCCACTTTGTAGCACATGAAGAATCACACTCTGATGAAGTAAATAATTACAGCTTTTACTAAAAACAAATGAAATATCATTTACAACTATTTTGAGTCAGTAAATTCATTTCCAGAAATGAATCATAAGGGACTAAGTAGAAATAAATGCAAAAGGCTTACCCATAAATATCGTTACATGAAAAAAGTTTTAGAAGCACCCTAAACATTCAAAATGGCAAAAGTGTTAAGAAAAGTATGGTACCCCTATGTAATTGAATATTACACTATGCAGGCATTAAATTACAGAGAAATACATCTTAGAAATTATTCACAGCATACTTAACTTAAGCAATTTATAAAACAGGAAACAAAGAATTTAAATACGCGTATATTTAATTTTTATTTTACCTTAAATAGGCTATATGATACGTAGCTGTGTGGTCAAACTAGTCCAGATGTTTAAGAGTAAAGGTATTTTAGAGAGGTGACTAATATTTAGAGTCAAGTGACTTTGATGATTTGTATTTGATCATTTGATGACAGTGTTTACATACCCCTCAACGAGGGCTGGTCACCCTGAGTCAGTTTAAGGCCTTAAGAACAAAAACTGAGGTTTCCTAGAGAAGAAATTCTGCCTCAAGGCTGTAACATAGAAAGCCTGCCTGTGTTTCCAGCCTGCTAGTGTGGTACTGTGAGATAAAGCACTGGACCACAAGGTCGATGGTTCAAATTCACCAGTCGCTCCTTGGAAACCCTATACAGGGTCGCTAAGAGTTGGAACCAACTAGAAGGCACTTAACAACAACTGGTGCAGCACTATAGGATAAGCACTGGACCACAAAGACAGTGGTTCAAACTCACCAGCCGCTCCTTAGAAATCCCATACAGAGTCACAATGTGTCTGAATGACTAATTAGCACTAAACAACAATAGCCTACTCTACAGATTTTAAACTTGTCAAACTTCACACTAGGGTTCCAGTTCATGTATGCATGGATTTGTTCCTAAGAAAACTTGTTTAAACAGTCTCTACAATCCATGAATGGTTGCAGACAAGTCTTCTCAGTAATACAACTGTCTTAGACTCATTTGTTATTGTGAAATGCAGTCAAGTCAGTTTCAACTCATAGTGACCCTCTATAGGGTTTCTGGCTGGTGAGCTTGAACTATTTACCTTGCGGTTCAAACTGACCTTGCAGTCGAGCTCATTAACCCACAGCACCAGTCTCATTAGGGTGTCGTCAAAAACAAGGTTCAATCAAAAATAATGGCTTCTGTGGAGATCTGCTGGACCAGTTAAATTCAAGGCAGAAAACTTCAGGTCATAGTAACTGTTTGGGGGGGATCCCAAAGGGCTAGTCTTAATATATTTTCTCAAAGGACATAGGATGATTATAGGGGCTTATTATAAAGAAATTTTAAGAAAACTGAAAACTGTATTGGTAAGCTAAAAGCCAGGAAAGTTGCATCAAATAATTTTTTTCCCATTAACAATAACTCACTTGCTCATTCTTTGAAAATTTCATTGACTTAGATGAAGGCTATGTTGAGAAACCACGTCACATTTTGATATTTTCTTAATAATGAAGATTCAATATAGATTTCAATGATTTTGTAGCAATACTTTATACACAAGGGTAAGTAAAAAAAGTATTGGTGGTGACTAGGTTCGTCACCAATAAGGGGAAGTGAGGGAAAAACAGCAATGAAGCTGCAGGCTAAGCCCTACAATGTTCAATAGACTCCTGTGAACCCGGGTGGAGACCTGGTTGGCCAGCAGCGTGGCAAGACGTGGGCCCAGAGTCAGTGACATAGCCACAGAGGACTAGAGTGGAGAGTGAAGCATCCAGCTGATAAGAAGAGAGGGCATATGCACAAGAACACCCACACTTGCAGATAATACCCACTCCACCTGATTTCAATGACTGAATGATCAGAGCTCAACCAGAACAAGAAAGAAGAGGATAAAAGAGTAATCTGATACAATTTGATGAACTTGACCTACTCCTATGGATGCAGTAACTCAAAAGAGGGACCAAATCCTTACAGCAAGGATCATTCCCACCCCCTCCACACACAGAGTAGACAGGGATGGGCAACTTGGACATTGGCTACCCAAAATGGGAGGACTACAAAGGCAAGAAATAACTGGCTTACAAGCTTTCAAGAGGTAACCTAGATTCAGAGGGCATGGAGGAAGGTAGAATCTCCACTGAGTAGTATACAATCTGTCTAGACTGGACTGATGAAAGGAAATGCGGATAGGTCTCTTGCGATACAACAGTGAATAATTGTTATCAGGACTGCTTGTGAGGGTTGGAAATGTAAAGGTAGACATTTTGCAGAAAGGAGGGAAGTGATTAACTTTTCAGTCTAGGAGCAGAGGTCTCTGGGACCACCAAGGGAGAAGAGTGGAGAGTGGGACCCTACCCAGAGAAGAAATGATGCCTGAGATGGAGGCAAAGACGATGACGTGGAGAGATGGAGCAGTTGGGGATTTTAGAAACAGAGAGGGAGAGGGGCTTTGTGCTGACGACCTGGGGGCAGGCTTGTAGGGTATACCCTTTGGTTGGTTGATGATGCATGGAGGGGAATGTAACCATGGCAATGAAACGATATACAATAGGATGAATGTAAAACTAATGTTCTCCAATGTAAACTATCACATAATTCACAATAAAACATTAAAAAAAAAGTAAATAAAATAAAAATTTTAAAGTATTGCTACAAAATCACAGAAACCTTAATTCATCTACATTTATACACTTCTGAGGAGTCCTGGTGTGACTCTGTGGGTTAATGCGCCAGACTGCAATGCCATTTGAACTGCAAGGTTGGCGGTTCAAGCTCACCAGCTGCTCCTCAGAAACCCTAGACAGGGTCACTATGTGTCAGAACCAGCTCGACGGCACTTCACAACAACAACAACATAAACTTCTGAGACAGTGTTTCCACCTCTTGAACCCTTCATGAAGAATTCTGTGCTTATCAATTTACACCATGTCAAAATGGTAGTTGTGGCATCCTCAAAAGACTCAAAAAGAAGTCTGAAGAGGCAAGATCAGGGCTACAGTATGGCTGGGGTAAAGCTTCCCAACAAAATTCTCAGAGAACAGCCCTTGATACACTCAAAGATGATGAAAAATTATTCCTTGGAGCAACTTTTCTGGTCTTTTTCTCACCAATGCAGCTTTCGATTTTCTTAATTCTTATACAGTAAGTCCCCATCGTTATCTTGTGTCCCTGAAGAAAATCAATTAGGATAACCACTTTATAATCCCAAAACATAGTCACCATAACCTTGAGATGATCTATCTGCGTTGAATTTAACTGGCCCAACAAATCTTCTTAGAAGCCACTGTTTTGATTAGACCTTGTTTTTGAAGGAATCCTCCTATTTAAATATGGAGTTCTGGTAGTGTAGTGGTTACGAGTCAGGCTGCTAACCTTAGGGTCAGCAGTTCAAAACTACCAGCTGTTACGTGGGAGAAAGATGAGGCTTTCTGCTCCCATAAATATTTACGGCCTCGGAAACCCTGTGGAGGGTCGCTATGAATCGGAATCAACTCCACGGCACATAACCACCACCAGTTTATATAAATCTGTGCATGCATTAACAAGAACCCTAATAACAATACCATTTGATCTCCTCTTGTGTGTGTGTGTGTGTGTGTGTGTGTGTGTGTAAATTTAAAAAATAAAACAGCTGGTAAGACTGGCATTTCAACTATCAATAATCATCTCTGGCTGAGGAGTAGATGTGATGTTGTTTTGTTCCCCTCTTCTCATTGTTAGCTGTATTTTCTACATTTTCTAAAATAACTAATTGTTACCTTTGGAATAAAGGGGAGAAACTTGACAGTGAAAAGAAATTAACTACATATAGTGCTTGAGATATTTATATTTCCCAGGCCTAGGCCTTGAGTTCTATTTTATGGGATGTTTCCAAACTGCTTTCAATGATATTAATTAAAGAAACTTTACTTTTACAACCTTTGGGAAATGCTTCTTTGGGTCTTTGTCTGTATACCTTTCTTTCTCGGTATCTTCTTTCTCTCTCTTCATCTCTTTCTGAATCGTCATCTCTTTTTTCTTTCTCTTCAATTCTTACTCTACTTACTACAAAAATAAAAAATATTTTAGCATTCCCAAACTTTAGCACATCAAAAAGATCTTCTAGCATATTGCTTCAGTCTATAGTACACATTACATTTATTACACTATATTAAAATTTTTCTTCAAATATTCCAGTCTCATGAATCAGAAGTTCTGGTATCGTAACTTTCAATATCCACACAAACCCACTGCTGTTAAGTTGATTCCAAGTCATACAGGGCAGAGCAGAACTGCTCCAGGGGGCTTCCAAGGTGAAGCAGATTGTCACAGCTTCCCCCCACTGAGTGGCTGATGGGTTCAGAAATGCAGACCTTTCAGTTAGTAGTCAAGTTCTTAACCATCTTAACCACCAGTGAGCCTTAGAGAGGAGTTGTTGTTAAATGCTGTCCACTCGGTTTCGAGTCTGACTATCATAATTGCTGTCAATAAGTTGTACACCTGTAAAAACTTGAATTGGTAAAAGTTGTGTGATAGACATATTTACAGTAATGACCCCCCAAAAAAGGAGCTGTTTATGTGCACCTAAACACTTCATGGGATTTGGTTCCTTGGTTTGGAGGTTTAGGGTCATGGTTTCAGAGGACATCCCACTTAACTGGCCTGATAAGATGTTCTGCGGTTCTGTTCTAGCTTAGTTCATTGTGCAGTGCCTGGAGTCTTACAAGTTTTCAAATGGCCACTAAAGACACAACCATTGGTCTGTATTTGCCTGGAGCAACAATGTAAGAAAGAGAGTCAGAAATAAGAGGAGAACATGGAATGTATGGCTAACTGCCTCCATGAACAACTGTCTCCTTTAAGTGACACCAGAACTAGATGGTGTCCAGCTACCATTACTGAACATTTTGATCAAAGATTCCATAGAAAATCCTGATCAAAAGGGGAGACATGCAGAACAGAATTTCATATTCTCATGGACTTTCTGGAGCCACAGAGAGTGAATGAAGCCCTGAAATCATTTCCCTGAAATAATCTGTAAACCTTAAGCCAAAAATATCTCCTGAAGTCATCTTAAAACGAGGCAATAGTTTAGTTTAACTGGTAAAGAAGATCTACCTTGAACATACACACTTCTTAAGAATGATCTATATGGGATGGTGAGACTTCATCTCACATACTTTGGACACGTTATCAGGAGGGACTAGTCTCTGGAAAGGACATTATGCTTGGCAAAGTTAAGAGTCAGTGAAACAGAGGAAGACCCCAAGGAGATAAATTGACAGAGATGCTGCAACAGGCTCAAACATCACAACAATTGAGAGGATGTCACAGGACCAGGCAGTGTTTCAACCTATTGTGCATGGGGTTGCTATGAGTCAGAACCAATTTGATGGCATGTAACAACAACATACTGGATCAAACTGACAGCAGAAACTCGAAAAAGTAGAAAGAGTAGAAGATGGGGTGAGAATGGTTGACAACTTAAAGAATATTATCAAGGCCACTAAATTATACATATTGTTGCTGTTGTTGTTAAATGCCTACCGATTCAAACTGACCTTGAGGTCTAGTGCATTATCCCACAGCACCACACCAGGACTCCAATTTTACATATAGAAACTATGGAATGGGTGTGTGGTCTGCTGTGTTTATTCTCAACAACAACAAAAGAAAATTTAGGGAAAAAAAAACAAAAACAATGAAATGTGTACACACATATATACAAGTACAAGAGGGACCTATAATTTCAAATCAAAAGGTAAAATATTTATGAAAATTGTGAGAGAAAGCAAAATGACAGAAATTTCAAAAAAAGAAAATGCTCACACACAGTAAAAACTTTTTATGACAAAAGCACATAATAAAATTAATCTAACAGCTAACCAATACCTTAAAAGGAAAGATGGAACATATTGCCAAACTATATCTAACAACGGTAAACGTAAAAGACGAGCTTAAGCGTATCCATACCTGAACGAATTTTCCTGTCTACTTTTTCCGTAAGTTGTTTGTCACGTGTCTCACGTCCCAGGAGGTTATGGTAGGCAGTGGTTTGCCTAAGTTCTTCTTTCCTAACTTTTCTGTCTTTGTCTTTCTCTCTGTCTTTTCCTCTACTGTGAGACTTTTCTATATCGTGTTCTCGATGTTTCTCTTTATGTTTTTCTCGTTCCCGATCCTTTGTGTCTTTTTTTCTTTCCCTGTGTTTATCTCTGTCCCTCTCACCTCGAGAAGTCTCTTTAGATATGTGCACATCTCTTTCATTTGTCCGTTCCTTATGCTTTGTGTCTCGGTCTTGGTCTTTGTATTTACGTTCTCTGTATTCAAGTAGGTCAATTTCTGACTCCTTATGTAGCTTCTTTTCTCTCTGTTTCTTTTCTTCTTTTGGGCTGTCGGACTGTGTCATTTTTAAAAAAGGTAAAAAGAAGAAGGGTTATTTCTTTACTAGAAAAGCAAGATTTATTTATATTAAGCTTTTAATAAAGAAACATAAAAGTCATATGCATTTGAAGGATAAGCACTGGACTGCTAACTACAAGGTCAGTGGTTCAAACCCACCAGCCACTCTTCAGAAAACCTATACAGGGTTGCTATGGGTCGAGACCAACTCAATGGCACTTAACAACAACAACAAACATTCAACTTCTTTCCAACTTCAGCAAGATGAGTGGTGGCAAGCGTGGATTAATATTACTAAAATTCTGAAGTACTGAGAGTCAAATTTAGCATTTTATATGACTGACTACTGAAGTCCTTTGTAACACTTCGATACACTTATTCACATTTATTTATACACTCTCATACACTTATAAGCGTATTACCCAAAGCTGTTTTCGGAGGTCATCTGCTTTCCATGTATCATCTTTTGTTCTCTGAAAAGGAAATTACAGAGTTAGAAATTTTAAAGACTAAAAATAACTAACATTAAATGTTCTAGTGAGCTACTGCCAGAGAAAGATGAGGCTTTCTGCTCTCACAAAGATTTAAGGCCTCAGAAATCCTATACAGGGTCATTATAGGTCGGAACTGACTCAACGGCACTTAATAACAACAACAGTGAGCTACCGAAGACCTGGTACGGTGCTGTAGGATAAGCAGCGAGCTTAAGCAAGGTCGACATTTCAAACCCACCAGCTACCCCTTGGGTACCCTACAGAGGGTTGCTATGAGTTGGAACCAACTTAACAGCACTTAACAACAAACAGCACTGCATTAGTGCAAGGACCTTTTCAAACGGTATCAGGAGTGCTGTAACTCTGTAGGATAAACGCTGGAATGCTAACCACAAGGTAAGCTATTCAAATCCACCAGCCGCTCTTTGGAAACCCTACACAGGGTTGCTATGATTCTGAACCAACTGGATGGCACTAATTTGTTATTGTTGTTGTTAAGTGTCGTCTAGTCAGTTATGACTCATATTGATGTTATCTAGAGTTTCTGGGGAATGGCTGGTGGGTTTGAACCACTGACCTTGCAGTCCAGTGCTTTATCCTACAGCGTCACACGAGGATTCCTGTAATAGAACAAGCTAATACAAATACAGATTTTAAAAATTATTCTCTAGTCTAAAATTATACTTGAAAAGAATATACTCCTCCTTTGGCTATTAAAAAAAAAAATGAATATTACAAAAATGTTGTTGTTGTTGTTGTTAAGTGCCGTCGAGTCGGTTCCGACCCATAGCGACCCTGTACAGGGTTTCCGAGGGTGTAAATCCTTACGGGAGTAGAAAGCCTCATCTTTCTCATAAGAGAGAAAATAAGCTATAACAAGTCTAAACAACAGATCAAGGATACATCTTTTATTACTTTAAAATATATTGTCCCAAACTGCATTTTCCCAAAATAGCTATAACACTCGACCTCATCCCAAATGCTCATCTGGACACATGACTCTGAGGCTCTGTCATATAGAGTGGTGGCGTTCATACAAGGTGGCTTCAAAATTTCATGGAAAAATTCCATTATTTTTTAATTCCATATTTCCACAAATTTTCTGAAGCCCCCTCATATTCTTTCCGTTTTATTTTGAACAAACTTAGCCTATGAGCTGACTACACCAAGGATCAAAATAACCTGGGAAGAGTAGGTCCTTTGTACCTACACAGAGGAAGACATGGAGATCTCCAGGAATGTCAACACCAAGGATACAGAAAGGAACCAACAGCTGAGAGAGAGAAAAAGTCTTCCCCTAGAACTGGTACTCTAAATTTGGATTTCTACACTGTGGGATAAAGCACTAGCCAGCAAGGTCAGCTTGAACTACAAGGTCAGCAGTTCAAACTCACCTTAGAAACCCTATACAAGGCCACTATGAGTCAGAACCGACTCTACAACAAAAACTATGAGAGGAGGAGCCCTGGTGATAATGTAGGATAAGCACTGAACTGCAAACCTCAAGGCTGGCAGTTCAAACCTACCAGGTGTTCCAAGGATGAAAGATGAGACTTCCTGCTCCCATAAAGACATATAGCATCAGAAATCCTAGAAAGGATCACAGTGAGTCAGAACTGACTTGGTGGCAGTGAGTTTAAGTTTTTTCAGTTAGGGTTTTTGTTTTTACTTTGTTTTGTTTTTTTTTGGGGGGGGGGGTTGGTATATTAAGGCAGTAGGGGAACACGGTGGCTCCATAAGAAAAGCACTGAAACTACAAACCACAAGTTCCATGGTTTGAGGCTGCCAGCAACTCTTTGGGAAAAATAGGAGGCTTTCTGCTTCCACCAAGATTTACAGCCTCAGAAACTCCACACAGGGTCTCTAAGAGTGGAAACTTCACAACAATAGCAGGAGTGGTGCCTTGTGACTTCCAAGGCTATCTGACTTGCATCTGGTTCTCTTTGTGCTGCTCATTCCAGGAACTCAGCCACCACACTGTGAGGAAGCACAGTCGCCACAGGGAACAGCCTCCTGTAGATGTTCCAGTCAAGAGCCCCAGCTGAGTCCCCAGCCAACAGTAAACATCAACCACTAGAGACATGAATAAGCAAGATTTCCAACAATCCCAACATCAGCTGGAGCTTCTGAGTCACACTGCACACACAGAAACAGTCTTCCCACCTGCTGCCCAGAGATAAGCCCAACCTACTGTGAATTTTCCAAATTCCAAAGCCACAACATGTGGGCACTAAAAAATGGTTGCTGCTGTTTTACAAAACAAAGTTTGGAATTGTTTGTTATATAGCAACAGAAACAGGGAAGGGAGGGGAGAAGGAAGAGAGGGATAGATAGGTAGGTGGTAGTGGTGGTGGTGTGCCGTGAAGTTGGTTCCAATTCATACTGACCCTGTATAGGGTTTCCAAGGCTGGAAATCTTTGCAGGAGCAGAAAGCCTCATCTTTTTCCTGTGGAGCAGCTGGTGCATTTTAAGTCCTGACCTTGCAGGTAGCAGACCACTACACCATCAGGGCTCCTTAAGTAGTTAGGTACATAGATGAATAAGCAGATAATGTATTTACCATTTGTTGTTGTAGTTAAGTGCTGTCCAGTTGGGTCTGACTCACAGAAAATCTGTATAGGGTTTCCAAGACATGTCGGGTGAGTTTGAACCACTGACCGTGATGTCAAAACTGATCTTATAGTCGAGTGTTTACCCTATAGTGTCACACCAGGACTTGTCATTTAGAGTGTCAAAGCTACCCTGTGTCAAATGGGTGGTGCTGCGGGTTAATACACTGAACTGCAAGATGGGTTTGAACCGCAAGATTGGTGGTTCATACTCAAGAGCCGCTCCTAGGAAATCCTATACAGGGTCTCTATGAGTCAAAACCAACTCGATGGTACATAACAACATAGCCCTAGGAAGTAGGTTATTATTTCCAATTTACAAATGAGGGAACTAAGGTATATAGAAGTTAAATGACTTTTATCTCCAGACATCTTACTTTACTAAACAAATAATGTTGTTACTGTTGTTAGGTACCATCAAGTGGGTTCTGACTTATAACAACCATATACAAAACAGAACAAAACACTGTCCAGTCCTGAGCCATCCTCACAATCACTGCCATGCTTGAGTCCATTGCTGCTGTCACTGTGTCAATCCATCTCATTGGGGGTCTTCCAAGGAAAAACGGGTAAGCTGGAACCACCAACCTTGCGGTTCAAACCTATGTTGCAGTCTAGCATATTAACCCACAGCATCACACCAACACGCCATTTTGGCCATAGAATTCAGGTCTAGCCTTAAATTTTTTCTTCAGTTCCCTCCGCTTGAGAAATGCTGAGCATGTTCTTCCTTTTTGGTTTTCTAACTCCAGGTCTTTATAGATTTCATTATAATATTTAACTTTGTCTTCTCGAGCTGACCTTTGGAATTTTCTGTTCAGCTCTTTTACCTCCTCATTTCTTATATGTGCTTTAGCATCTCTATGCTGGAGAGCAAGTTTCATAGTCTCTTCTGACATCCATTTTGGTCTTTTCCTTTTTTCCTGTCTTCTTGCTATATGATGTTGCTTTCTTGCTATATGATGTTCGTGGTATCTTCAAACAACTCTTCTGGTTCGGTCATTAGTATCTAATATATCAAATTGGTTCTTTAGATGATCTCTAAATTCAAGTGTGATATGTTTACGGTCATAGTTTGGTTCTTTCAGACTTGCTTTATTTTCTTCAGCTTCAGTATGAACTTGCATATGAGCAATTTATGGCCTGTGCCACAGTCTGCCCTGGTCTTGTTGTGGCTGACGACATGGAGCTTTTCCACCATCCCTTTCCACAGATGTAGTCAATTTGATTTCCATGTATTCCATCTGGTGAGGTCCATGTATATAGTCATCTTCTACGCTGTTTAAAAACGTATTTGCGATGAAGCAGTCATTCGTTTCATCATTTCTATAACTAAGACCATATTTTCCAACTATTGATCCTTCCTTCCACTTTGTTTCCAACCGTCAGTAATTATCACTACATCTTGACTGCATGTTTGATCAACTTCAGACTTCAAAAGTTGGTAGAATTCTTCAATTTCATCATCACTGGTTTTAGTGGTTGGTGCGTAAATTTGAGTAATATTTGTATTAACTGATCTTCCTTGTAGGAGAATGGATATTGTCCTATGACAGACAGCACTGCATTTCAAGATAGATCTTGAAATGTTCTTTTTCATGATGAGTGTGATGCCATTCCTGGATAGTAAATCATGTGATTTTCAGATTCAAAATGACCAATACCAGTGTATTTCAGCCTAGGATACTGATGTTTATGCAGCCCTTTTCATTTTGGGGAATTTCCAATTTTCCTAGATTCATACTTGGTACATTCTTGTTATTAATGGATGCTTACAGCTACTTCTCCTCATTTTCAGTTGTGACCCATCAGCAAATGAAAGTCTCGATGGCTTTACTCTATTCGCATCATCATGGTCAACTCTACTTTGAGGAGGCAGCCCTTCCTCAGTCATAATGTGAGTGCTTTCCAATCTAAGGGGCTCATTTTCTGGCATTATGACAACGTTCTGGTGCTCTTCATCATGTTTCAATATTCAATGTTCTGGTGCTCACAGCTTTCCACTGCTATTTATAAGGTTTCCAGTGACTAAATATTCCGAAGTAATCCATCTCTCCTTCTCCCTAGTATGTCTTAGTCTGGAAGCTCTGCTAAAACCTGTCCGCCATGGGTGACCCTACTGGTATTTAAAATACTGGTGGCATAGTTACCAGAATCACAGCAGCATGCAAGCCACCACAATATGACAGACTGACCGATGAGTGGTGGCCTTGAATGTAGGCCAGACTTCACGACACACTGCTAATGAAGAGAATGTGGTAGAAGCTATCTGAGGCTAGGCCATGAGATGAAAAGCGTTCTCTCATCTGGGAGAATCCTGCACCCTGTCATGACTTAGGTGAGGCCCATGTGGAGAGGAACTATGGACTC